CTGGCATTAGAGTCAATAAACCTATGTTCCACCCCTGCTTCTAGTTTTTACTACATAGATAACCTGGACAAGTCACTTAACCTCCCTGAGTATCAGTTTTGCATTATAAAATGACAAAATTGAACTAGGTAGCTTTTGAGGTTCCTTCCAAGTCTAGATCTGTGATGCTTTCTAGTATTTTTTTTCTAGTCTGGTCACGTTTAAAAAATCAGACAAAAATTATGTTATCTCTCACTGGACTCTCAATAGTCTGTTCCCAGTGTGCACTAATGGTTGTAAGTTCATTACCCCCTGAATTTCAAGCTCTGTGTAGGATTACATGAGCAGGACAGAACAGCATGAATGAACCTATTAATAATGAAGATAAACCTTGTCAATTCAGTAAGATGGCCTATTGCTAACCTCTTCTCTAAAATATATTGTTCTAGTTAGAGAAGAGGTGGAGAGATCACATTATTATAGTCCCCACTTCAAACAGCTAGAAAGAAATGAGTTGCTGATCAAAATTTTCAATTTCAGAAGCTTTCTAACAACACTGACCACTTCTAGATAAATGGGGCCATAGCTATGTGGATCAACTCCCACATTTAATGGATGAAAAAACTGAGGCCAAGAGAAGTTGACTCCACCCCCCCCAATATCTGAGCTTGAACTCATACTATTAAAATTTTTAGTAGGTATACTTGTTACATTGACAAGTATGCTTGGAAAAATCAAATTTTCTGTACCTTCTACATTTCTAGATTACAGTTTAGTATTCCAAAAGCTTCTGGTTATATGTTGCATCAATGTTTAGAAAGAGAAACTGAATTTCTCTGTAAAGAACAATAAAGTATTTCAGGGTCCTTAGAGTCAACTTTTTAAATGGACCTAATAATTGGAAAGGCAATATGATATATTAGAAAAGACTTTGGAGATGTCAGCAGAAGACCTAGGTTTTCATCCTTGCTCTGTTATTGGTTAGCTATGTGACTTTAGTCAATTCACTTAGCCATAAGTCACAGCCTCTTGGGATTCTGTTTTCTGTCCTGTAACACAAGGTATTAAACTATAATAATCTTCCACATCCTTTCTCACTAACATTATATAATTTTATTATTGAATCCAGAGCACACTAGCATTGTATTACACACTGCACAAATCCTCAGTAGGTTAAATCCAAAATAAGGTGACACTCATTACTGAAAGAATATTGAATAACATATAGAATAGTAATTTTACCCGTAAACCAGAATTCTTAACTTGCACTTATCTTGCACTCTTTGGCAGTCTGGTAAAGGCTCTGGCTCCTTTCTCAGAATAATGCTTGTAAATGCTTAAAATAAAATACTTGTGATAACAAATAAAGAAAATTATTTACAAATACACTTAACAAAGTATTAAAAAATCTTCATGAACACTAGGTAAAAAACATCTGATTTAAAATAAAGTCAAACATCTGGAATTATGCTTGGTTTTAAGAATACTGTGGAAGGGGAAAACATTTAAACTCTAAACGTGACTAGGGTGATCTGAATATTATATAAGGAATAATTCAAAAGACAAAAGAAAAGGTGAACAAAGGAAAAAGTCAATAAGCAAATCAACAAATTTAGTCAACCTATATAACTAATATTAAGTTCCAGCTTTGTGTCAGGCACTGTGCCAAGCACTGGATATATAACAAAAATCTCATAGCTCTCAGCCTGATGTTTTCAAAGCTCAGCCTCTAATGGGGGAGACAATATACAAACCAGTAAATGTATAAACTAGATATATATAGCATAAAGTGGATATAATTATTAGTGGGAAGGCATTAACATTAAGGAAGTTTGATAAAGTCTTTTAAAAGAAGGTAAGATTTTTAAGAGGGACTTGAAGGAAGCCAAGAAAGGCAAATGATAGAGATGAAGAGGGAAATGATTTCATATATGGGGGACAGCCTGAGAAAATTCAATTCAACTCAATAAACATTTACTAAGCCCCTACCATGCACCAGTCACTATACTAAATGCTGAGAATACAAAAAAAGGACAAAAGACAGTCCCTGTCCTCAAGGAACTTACCATTTAAAGGGGAGACAGCATGCAAACAAATGTATACAATGAAAGCAACGGGGCATGCAGATAGGAGGTGAAGTGTCTTCTTTGAGAAAGGGCAAAAAAGGCAAAGCGCATGGAAGAGAATAAGATTTAAGAAGACTTGAATAGTAGGATGGGGTCAAGTAATGATTGTAGTCTTCAAATAATAGATATCCATTAAGAACCTACAGTAGAGAATGTTGGGAGTTAGTGTAAATGATTTTTAGAAAAGAATATGACCTCTGCTATTAGAGACTCTACTCTAGTGGTAGGAGAATACCAGGGCAGATACCAACAATATACACAATTATATGACAAATGCATTTGTTACCAAACAAAATATTATTTGAAGTTAGAGAAGGGAAGTTCATTAATGACCAGGTAATGCTATTATTTATGTAGCACATTACATATTTATCTCATTTGTTCACTCAAGCAACTCTTTTAAGCAGCTGCTAGTCTATAAAATAGGGGAACCTGAGACTGAAAAATGTGACATACCCTCTAATTATCTCTGCAAGTTTTGAACTTATGTCTTCTTTCCTCAAAACAATACTTGATCCTATATACCTAGGTGCCCCTACTGAGAGTATGCTATCTGGAAGAGGAGGCATGTGACTTAGACTTTAAAAATTATTAATTCAATAGGCAAATGACCTAGAATGAATATTCTAAGTATAGGGAACACCATGAATAAAGGATCAAAAACCCTATTTGGGAAGGACAGTATTGTTTTGTTTGTCTGAGACCTAGAATGATCATAGACAATGGAATAATATGGAATAAGGTAGGAAAACCAGGGTGATATCAGACTGTAGAGAGCCTTGATCATTAGGTAGTTAATTTTGAACTCTACTTATTAAGCAAAAAATTGTCAAGTATTTGAATAGCTATCACGTGGAAGACTAAATTATTTTGTTCTGTATTGCTGCCAGTGGCAGAACTTAAGAACAATGGGTAGAAGTTATAGGTTAGTCGATTTCAGCTCAGTATAAATCTGAACGAACTATTAGAATCATCCCTTCACAAAGAATTATATCATAAAGAAGTGATTTTCTGATACATAGAACAATCTTAATAAAAACTGGATGATGACCTGGCAGGGATGTCATAGAATAGATTTGTCCACTGAGTGAGTGTTGGACCTCTAAGGTGACATCCAGCTTAAAGAATAACAGTACATGCTATTTATATATTGCATTAAGGTTTACCAAATTCCTTCTTTACAACAGCCCCGTAAAGGATGTCCATAAATGTTAAGTATCCCTATTTTCAAGTGACGAAATAGAGTCTCAGAATATTCTGGTGACATGCCCATGCCTACATAGCTAAAGAATGTCAGATCCATAGTTTTTACTTTCCACTATACCTTAATATTCTATGATTTTAAAATTAAATTCATTTGTTAAAGAATTCAATTTAACAAGCCTTTATTAAGAGTCTATTATTTGCTATATACAAGGCAATCAGTAAACATTTACTAAGAGCCTATAATGTTCCAGGTACCATACTAAACACTGGAGCTACAAAGATTAAAAATAAAATAGCATGTGCCCTTCAAGGGGTTTATATTCTATGACTGTGAGAATTCAAGGATATTCTGACATAAGCACCTTTTTGCCTAGGACATCTCATTTGAAATTTAAATTAACTCGATACTTTCTTATTTCCCAAGATACAGAATAGTCTTAGTGATAAGTATAAATATTTAAAAATCTAGAGACTTCTTACATTATCTATGATGGCTAAAATTTTAGAATCTTGACCTTTTCACCTCCACCTACATGTTTCCCTAATAGCTATTCTATTAGAAAGTCTTAAGTAGGTTTTAATTTATTTCTACCTCTCCTCAGGTTGATCTCCTGTTGACTGCCACCTGGAGCCAAACATGCAGGCTCAATCTCTGTTCAGTATGTGAGAGAAATACTTTTGCACCTCAAAGAAACAAAGGAAAGTAGAAGGATTGTTTTTTAATGAGACTGGAAAGATTAAGACCCTACAAAGTCTGGAGAGTTGCAGCAGATGGATGGCACATGAAGAGACTACTCACTGTGTTCTATTCAGTTTTCTATCATTAATTACATTTGGGTGTTTAAAAAGAGGTTTTAGGTTTATTTAAAAGTCTTTTTTTCCTTTTATGAAAGAAAGAGGCCCACCTCAGTTTTGTGCAACGTCTGTATGTGTGTGCATATGTGTGTTTGGTAGGGCTAGGTGAAAGAGCACTGAAATACTCATGAGATTTGCCTAGATTAGGTACAAGGCTACTCACAACCAATATTCCAAGAGAAAGGGAAAGGAAATGAGGAGTCCTGGGAAAAGAACATGTTAAAATAAAGTAATGGAAGATCAGCTTATCTGTATAGGTTAATATAGGTTAAATGTAGAATATTGTTTAAAGCCAATAGTCTTAAAATATGTCAATGCTTGAGGGGGTTATTACATTAACTGGACTATCAGTCATTTCTCTTAGTGAGAATTAATTGAATCAATTTACCTTCTTTCTCAAACGAGTTAATATCAGGACATTGAAAACAAATGGAGTTATGATATGAAGTGTTTAGCTGAACCGACTTCTTTGGGCCCTAGCTTCCCTGACACTACTGCCTGATCTAGAGGAATAAATTGTCCCATCTGTCTGTGGACTGCACCTCTGAGACGTGCTAAGTGTCTAAGTTACCAGTCATCAAACATAGGTAACTTATTTGTCAGACACAGTTTCCATTTGGAGACGAGGAGGATGGTGCACAGAAAAGCTAAGTGCCATCGTACCCTTGTTATATATTTTTGCTGTCTTAGGGAAAAGTAAACGTCCTTTGTTAAATGTTCATTGACTTGTGAGTGCCTCATTTGTTTATTCATTTCAATTGTGTCTGACTTTCTGTGACCAAATCTTTTGGAGTTTTCTTGGCAAAGAGACTGCCATTTCTTTCTCCACTTATTTTACAGATGAGGAAATACAGATGAGGAACCTAAACCATGGTGATGTTATCACTGGAGCTGCACCGACACAGGTGAAGAATGTCTGGATAAGGGGGGATAAATTTTGAACATAGGATACTGATCACAGTGACAGGCTGTATTTATTTATGTTGATATCTATATCTATAGCTATATTTATATCTATATTCATTTGTTGTTCAGTCAGTCAGTTGTATCTGACTCTTCATGACCCCATAGACCATACTGTCCGTGGGGTTTTCTTGGCAAAGAGACTAGAATACTTTGTCATTTCCCTCTCCAGTGGATTAAGGCAAACAGAGGTTAAGTGACTTGCACAGGGTCACATAGTTAGTAAAGTGCCTGAGGCTGGATTTGAACTCAGGTCTTCCTGACTCTAAGCCCAGCGCTCTATCCACTGAGCCATCAAGCTGCCCTATCCATATTTATAGCCATATCTATAGCCATATTAACTGACCCCTTTAATAAAATTGATGTTCATTTATGAAACGCAAAGCAGAAGATGTAGCCTGGGACCTAAGGCCCAAATTCAGGTTCACCTAACAGGGGACAACTCTAGTTGCTATCTATGAACAGCTGCTATAGATCACAAGAGAAGAGGCTTTCCTTCTCCCCATGAAAGTCTTTGAAAGAAGGTCCATGAAACATGATTCTGGAAAGAGAAGAAAAAAAAATGAGAACAGATTTTATGTCCCTTAAAACCAACTACATGGGCAACTCTTCCTGGCTAGATGCCAATTCTCTTTTGATACATAACCCTCCTGCTCTGCTATCAAATTGGATCACTGGATTGCTGTATCACGCTACAGGAGTAAGTTATTCTACCCAGAGCCCAAGAACACATATGGCCCAGTAGAGGTGGCCTGGTGAGTCTAATTCAAGTTCTCACATGATCCAATGGAGTATACTCTACTCCAATCCCCCCACCCTCCACCCTTTCATCTAGGCCAAAATAATTTGGCAGAGTTGTAGTATTCTAGGGGTCAGGTAGAAAGGATGACACAGTCAGAATTCTGTGGTGAAGATCTATTAGAGAGAATAGAGATTTATTAGAGAGATTAGTGGGTAAAACTGCACAGTTCTAGTTAATTGAAATTGGGCTGGGGTTTGGCTATTAATGCAGCTTCATGCCTATCTATGTTAACTTCTTGGTACAAATGATACTACCTTTGTAAGGAAGTTTAGCAAGAGAGCTTCAATTATTAACTTTGAATGTGCCCAACCCCTTTCCTTTCTTCAACACTTAAGGCCACTGAAATTCTGTCTCACTTTCATTAAAAAAAATTCACCTATAAAGAACAAGAATTATCTGAGGGATTAGAGGTGAATACAAGTCCTAAGGAAAGGTAAATGCTTCTCAGTAGGCTTTCAAGCAGGCTTTTTGTTCTGCTTTTCACCATAAGAAGTCCTTCAACAAATATGCTCATAATAGGGGAAAAAACACAACAGGGGAAAAAATACCTTTTTATAAATAGTATAAAAGCTTTGCTAGAAGGGGGATTCCCAGAGAATGGTTTCTTGTGAGGGGAGGAGGAGATACAACATCAAACAGGGAAGAAAATGAAATCAGTTAGTTGACAGGAGATTAGAGAAATTGATACAGGCCAATACACTGAGTTTTGGAGGTGGCTGAAGGGAAGCAAAGCCACTACTGCAAGTAATTGGAGTAACAGTTTATTTATTTGGTGTGAGGAGAAAGAGGAGAAGGAGGATTTTTTGTAATCGGAGTGTATGTTCCAGACAAATGAACAACACTATCTGTTCCCAATTTAATAGTTTTAATGAAAATCTTTCTAAAATATAATTCACATATCCCTACCTTCCAAAACAGAAACTATTGAGCATTCATCTTTTATTGAAAACTCATGTTTACTAAGTAGCCATCTATAGAAAATTCCTCCCACGTTTGGCAATAGTTATGCTTGGCCTGTTGACTTCTCTCTAGTAGGACTGTAAATGTCTTATAATGTTACTTAATGTTTTAGGTGTCTATACCTTATTTCTACAAGTAGCTCATATGCTCCTTGAGGACAAATATGTTTTCTAATATCATTGCAATACTTAGCAAGAGGGTCTTATGCATTGTAAAATTTAATAAATGTTTGTTGATTTATGTTTATAAAATGAGAATTGCTTGCAGTTGATAATCATTTAAGATCAATTGAGCCCCAATAAGGGCCAAAAACCTGAATTAGTCTTTTCTCTGTGATTGAACTAAGAATGTCCCTTCCCTTGTCAACAGCTGAAGTTGACCAAGAGTATTCTTCTGTTTACGACCACTAAGGCACCTTGGACCTGAACACTACATTGAATGGTGGGACTTTTCTTATCTATGTTAAACACAGATATCCTGGATCTATAATTTCAATTGACACTTTGACATTCTTCTATTTTATTTTATTTACAACCTATTCAAATAAGAAAATTCCTTTCTCATGCTATAGTTGAACATATATAATGACCATAAATCTGAGTAACACAGACATCCTGAGTTAGGGTTTAAACGTCCTCCTAAAATTGCTTGATTCAGTCAGAGTTAAAGCTCTGGCTCCATATACATGTCGCCAACTTAAGGGAATAAACAATATGGATTTACGTATCACCTAGCTTGTTGCCTCTTTAACCAATTTTCAGGTCGACACAGTTTATAGGATCACAGAGTTAGAGGTAGAAGGAGTTTTAAGAGGGCATTTAGTTGCCCATCCATTTTATAAATGAAGAAATGGAGGTCCAGGGAAGTTAAATGGCTTGTCAAGTTTGTACAACTAGTAAGAAGTAGGATTTGAAATTGGGTCCTTTGATTCAAAATATATTGCCAGTCAGTCAGTAAATACACATTTATTACAGGCCTATTGTGAAGAGGCAAAAGTAAATCCCCACCTGCAAGGAACTCACCATCTAATGGGGGAAACTTATGCTAACAAATATGCACACAAAAAAGCTGCCTACAGGATAAACAGGAAACAATTAAGGGAGGGAAAGCTCTAGAATTAAAAGAGGTTGGGAAAGACTTCCTGTAGAAGACAGGAATTTAGTTGGGATTTAAAGAAGGCCAGAGAAATTAGTAGGTGGAGTTAAGGACAGAGAGTATTCCAATCATGGGGGATAGTCAGAGAAAATTACCGGAGCTGAGAGATGGAGTGTCTAATTTGTGGATCAGCAAGAAGGTCAGTGTGACTCTATCAAAGAGTATGTGATGGGAAGTATATAAGGTATATATAAGGTGGGAAGGTGTAAGAAAACTGTAGAAGTAGGAAGGAACTAGGTTATAAAAGGCTTTAAGTGCCAAATAGAGGATTTTGTACTTAATCCTGGAGGTGATAGGGAGCCAGTGGAGTTTACTGAGTCAAGGTTGACATGATAAAACTTACACTTTTTAAGAAATGACTTTGATAACTATTGGGAGGATGAGTTGGAGTCAAGAGAAACTTGAGGCAGGCACACCCAACAGCAGGTTTTGCAATAAGGTGATAAGATCCTACACCAGGGTGGTGGCAGTATTGGAACAGAGAAGGAGAAATATTCCAGACATGTTGCAAAGGTGAAATTGAAAGGCCTTGGCAAAATACACACACATATATAGATATACACATATACCTTTTTGCATATCACACATATGTGCATACACATACACATCAAAGACACATGTACAGAAATACCCACAATATGTGTGTTAATATAGATATGCAAATTTATACACACATACATATATACTATATATATAGCTGCATCTATGCAATGTACCTATGCATATAGATATGAATGAGCATGCAATGTATATGAAAACATATATGTACATATATATGTGATACAGGTGTATGCATTTGTGTATATATGTATGCATATAGTATATACATATATATCTGTATATATGCACACTCCTTTGTGGTTGTTTTTCTTTGATATTTACTCTGGTATACATACATACATACATGTACACAAATATATATGTGTATATGTGTAGATATATCCATTCACATAGCATACACAATGTATTATATCACATGATGTAGTATCATGAATTATATCATGTTACACATGTTATATGTATATAAATGCTATACATATATGGGTGTTTAGTTATATGTATAAATTTATGTAATGAAATAAATGATAAAATTATATTATGTATAGATTTAAAGAAAAATTTTGCAATTATTTTAAATCACCTTGAGCCAGAGAAATTGAGAATAACACACACACACACACACACACACACACACACACATATGTGTATGTATATGTATTAATGTTAGTTTGTGGTTTAGTAAGTTAATGTGGCCTGTAGAGATTTGTTTCTATTTGACTTTAACACTGCTGTACTAGATGACCTCTAATGTTCCTTCTAATGTCCCTCTAATGTCTCTCAAATGATAACCCTCTGATTAGCCACAATTTTATTTTTTAAGTGAAGGAACATTCATTTTCTCTTTCTTTCACCTCTTCCCCCTTAGTGGAAAAGAAAAACCTTTGCAACAAATATGCATAGTTAAGCAAAACAAATTCCCATACTGCCCATGTCCAAAAAATGTATGTCCCATATTGCATCTTGAATCCATCACTTCTCTGTCAGGAGACATAATTGGTAATTGTATTGATCAGAGTTCTTAAGTCTTTCAACATTGTTTCTTTTTATAATATTGTTCACTATATTCTCCTGGTTCTATTCATTTCACTCTTTATCAGTTCAGACAAAATTTCCCAACTGTCTTTTTTTTTACATATCAATAAGTTATTTATAATAAAACTTATTTGTACCACAAGACACACAGTATAAACAGGTATTATTTCCACAATAATAATAAACTTTAAATGAAATTGACTTTTTGTTAATGCAAAAATATTCTATAAGTTACCTCCTTCTAAGAAAATTAAATGAACTGAAATTCTCTTCCCCAAACCAAACTGAAGATGTTTCTGATTTCATTTCAGTAATTAATAAGACAACAGCTAGGTCTTTTAACCAGTTGTATCAATACCCAATTATTCTTACATCATTTTGAAACATTTAAGCACCTTATTCCATACAGACATAACATCTAGTAACAGGCAGATGCCCAGGCCAAATACTTACTTGCTAAGGTTTTTTTTTTTAATTTATGTATTTTTAGCTTTCAACATTCACTTCCATAAGATTTTGAGTTCCAAATTTTCTCCACATCTTGCCACTCCTGAAGATGGTGTGCATTCTGGATACCCCTTCTCCTAATCTGCCCTCTCTTCTATCACCCCCACCCCTTCTCTTATCTCATTCTCCTTTTATTTTCCTGTAGGGCAGGATAGATTTTTATACCCCATTGCCTGTATATCTTATTTCCCAGGTTTTTTTTTTAACATTTTTAAAACTTTGGGTCCAAATTTTCTCCCTCCCTCCCTCCCTACCCACCCTCAATGAGATGGCAAGCAACTCAATACAGGTTATATATGTGTAGTATGCAAAACACTTCCATACTAGTCATGCCCCCCCCATTTATTCTATTCTCTCTTAGGGTAAGATAGATTTCCATACCCAATTGAGTGTGTATGTTATTCGTCCTTAAGCCAAATATGATGAGAATAAGATTCACTTATTCCCTCTCACCTTTCCCCACTTCCCCTCCACTATAAAAGCTTTTTGTTTTCTGTTTAATGTGAGCTAATTTACCCCATTCTACCTCTCCCCTTCTCCTTCTCCCAGTATAATCCTCTCTGACCCCTTAATTTTAGTTTTTAGATATCACCCTTTCATCTTTAAATCATGCTGTGTCATCTATCTATCTATCTATCTATCTATCCATATAATTTTTCCCCCTTCAATTACCCTAATACTGAGAAAGGTCTCATGAGTTACAAATATCATCTTTCCATGTAGAAATGTAAACAGTTCAACTTTCATAAGTCCTTATGATGTCTCTTTTCTGTTTACCTCTTCATGTTTCTCTTTAGTCTTGTATTTGAAAATCAAATTTTCTCTTCAGCTCTGGTCTTTTCATCAAGAATGCTTGAAAGTCCTTTATTTCACTGAATTTCCTGTTTTCCCCTGAAGGGTTACACTCAGTTTTTCAGGGTAGGTGATTCTTGGTTGTAATCCTATCTTTTTTGAACTCAGGAATATTATATTCCAAGCCCTTTGATCTCAGTGCTAAATCTTGTGTAATCCTGATTATGTTTCCACAATACTTGAATTGTTTCTTTCTGGCTGCTTGCAACATTTTCTCCTTGACCTGGGGACTCTGGAATTTGGCTACAATATTCCTAGGAGTTTTCCTTGGGGATCTCTTTCAGGGGGTGATCCATGGATTCTTTCCATTTCTATTTTACCCTTTGGTTTTAGAAAATCAGGGCAGTTTTCCTTGATAATTTCTTGAAAGATGATGTCTAGGCTCTTTTTTTTGATCATGGCTTTCAGATAATCCAATAATTTTTAAATTATCTCTCCTGCATCTATTCTCCAGGTCTGTTGTTTTTCCAATGAGATATTTCATATTGTCTTCTATTTTTTCATTCTTTTAGTTTTGTTTTACAGTGTCTTGATTTCTCATAAAGTCACTAGCTTCTAATTGATCCATTCTAACTGTTAAGGAAATATTTTCTTCAGTAAGCTTTTGGACCTCCTTTTCCATTTGGCCAATTCTGCTTTTTAAGGCATTCTTCTCCTCATTGGCTTTTTGGACCTCTTTTGCCATTTGGGTTAGGCTATTTTTTTGTTTGTTTTTTGGTTGGGCAATGGGGTTTGCCCAGGGTCACACAGCTAGTAAGTGTTATGTTGTTATGTGTCTGAGGCTGGATTCAAACTGAGGTCCTCCTGAATCCAGGGCCAGTGCTCTATCCACTGCACCACCTAGCTGCCCCTAGGTTATTTTTTAAGGTTCTGTTTTTTTCAGTATTTTTTTTGGGTTTCCTATAGCAAGCTGTTGACTTGTTTTTTTATGATTTTCTTGCATCACTCTCATTTTTCTTCCCAGTCTTTCCTCTACTTCTCTTACTTGCTTCTCAAAATCCTTTTGAGCTCTTCCATGGCCTGGGACCAATTCATATTTTTCTTGGAGGCTTTGGATGTAGGAGCTTTGACTTTGTTGTCTTCTTCTGGTTGTATGTTTTGATCTTCTTTGTCACCAAAGTCAGATAATATAGTCTGATTCTTTTTGTGAGGTTTGCTCATGATCCCAGCCAATTATTTGAGTTTTAGACTCTTTGTTAAGGTAGGAGTCTGCTTCCAGTGTGGAGGGTGTATTGTCCCAAGCTTCAAGGGTTTTATTCAGCTGTTTTCAGAGATATTTCTAGGGACCTGTAAATTTTCAGTTCTCCCATGTTGGTATGATCGAGGATGAGGTGTTTACTCCTTTCCTGGCCTGTGCTCTGGTCTCTGAGTGACCATTAGCACTCTTTTTTGCCTTGGAACTGTGAGGAGGATTTTCTTTGTACCACTGCCACAAACTCTACCATACCAGCACTCCTTCTTGTCCCTGGACTGCCACCCAGAAGTACAACCCAGATCCAAGCATGGGCAAAGCAAGAGAATCCTGCCTCAGCACCAGCAAAGAGATTCCTGTAATCCCCTTCTGATCAGCCACTAGATTCCCTCTCTGTCTGTGGGGGGAGAACTCCTGAAGCAGCCGACACTCTGGGTCTGTGCCAGAACTGGGATTGGACTTAGCTTGCCTCTTACCATCGTCTGACAGACCTTTCCTACTGACCTTCTAAGTTTTCTTTGGTGTTTGTGGGTTAAGAAGTCTGGAAACCACCACTTCTCCCCTTCATTCAGTCACCTGAGGGCTGCTCCAGGTTTGCTGAGGCCCAGTCTTTGCCTAAGTGGGCTGTGCTGTACTGTGCTCTTCTTCCAGCCCAGCACAATAGACATTTCCAATCAACCATCTAGGTTGTCTTGGGCTGGAAATTAGTTTCACTCTGTCTTTTTGTGGGTTCTGCTGCTCTAGAATTTGTTTAGAGCCATTTTTTACAGGTATTTGGAGGGGTTTGGGAGAAAGCTCAAGCTAGTCTCTGCTTTTACTCTGCCATCTTGGCTCTAGCCACCCCCCCCCAATAATATATTTTTTAAAGATAATGTTTAGCTATTGTCTCTTCAGGCTCTAAATTTATGATCCTACTGGGTAAAAGTAAACTTTAAATATACTGGGTGTGCTAAAAGCCTTAATAAAGTTTAAATTGCATGAAGACTTTTGTGATACCCTGCATAACATACAGACATATTGTCACATCACTCAGTTTGAATTGATATTTGGTTCAATCCTGATCACTTTTAAAAGCATTGGAAATAGGATATTTTATATTTGGGTCAACAGAAGGAAAAGAATATCTCTCATTCATATAATATTTTATACTTTATAAAGCACTTGCCTCACACCAGTCTTAGTAATAGGGGTAAATATTTTACAGATGAGAAAGGAAAGGCTTTGAGCTTAGAAGTTTCAGAATTGGAACTCAAGTCTTTGGATTCCCAGGTCAGTACTCTTACTTCTTCACCATATTTTTTCTCTGTCTGAGCTTAGTGAGACACCTATTCCTCCTCAATCCATGTCCTGTTTTAACCTCAGTATTGAAACACATGGTATGGTTTGGTTGGTATGATATGGTTTTTGTCTGTTCTCATAGAGGACCGAAATGACATCACTATGCTAGATTCAAGTTTCAGTGTGTCTGACTGTGGCTGAGCAGACCAATATGAGTTCGGAATGCTCTACTACAGGTTGGGCATAAATAGTTCATGTGAAACACATAAAGCACCAATAGATGCAGCACTTTGGGGCCTTTTGCCAATACATATCTTTGTTGGTATGTATAATTGCCCTTATTAGCAGGAGGCGGAGAAAGGGACAGGGAAGTTGGGGGTATAAACTCCATTTTTACAGGCATATGATGCCTAACTTTAATTGGTTCCATCAAAAAATTCACACTGTCACAGTCACAGGAAACTGTAATTCAGGAGCATGTTAATTCCATTAAAACAATGGAAAAAACACAATAAATTCCCAGGCAGACAGAATTCAGACTATTAAAGCTTAAATTAGATCATTACCTGGTAATATATCATCTTTATAAAAGAAATATTTATTCATTCCTCCCCATAACATTTCCTCTCCCTCTGCCAAAGAAACTTCAAGCTTCTCACCCATTTGGGGGGAAGGGTAGGATGAAACAAGGCAGGAAGGTAATCAATCCACACAAGCTTGTCCATTGAGGGGAGGAGTAGGTCAAGGATTACATGATGTTCTGCTACTCTGAAGTTTTGTCCTTTTCCCATAATGTTTTTCTTTCTTGCAATTGATTGTAGAACCAATCCATTTTCTTTACAATTTTAGTTTTTGTAGAATAAGGGTAATTAACTTGGGGTCCATGAATGTAAAAAATATATTTTACTAGATGTATTTCAATGTAATTGGTTTCTTTTGTAATCTTATGAAGCAATTAAATGGCACAGTGGATAGAGTGTTCAGCCTAAAGCAAAGAAGGCCTAAGTTCAAATATGGTCACAGACAGTTCCTAGCTGTGTGAACATGGATAAATCATTTACCCTTTCCCTGCTTCAGTTTCATCAACTGTAAAATGTTGATAATAATAACACCTGACTTCCAGGACTGAGTGATAGAATATTGTTAAGGGCTTTGCAAATCATAAAGCACTAAATGCTAGTTTTGATGATGATGATAATAATGATGATTATCATTATGTATTAATAAAATAAAAAATCATCACCATCATTACTGTTATTAGCATGACAGCTTACAGATTTTCAACTTTCTACTGGAGGTAAATGGAAGTGATTTATAAAGCTCTTGGCACAGTGCCTGACATATAGTAGGCACTTAATAAATGTTTGTTTTGTTCCTGCCTATATATTTTATTTTACACATCTGAAAACATGATTCTGAGAAGGCTTCCAAAGGTTTCACCGAACTGCTAAAGGGATCCATGACACACCAAAAAGTATAAGAATTCCTGACCTAGAAAGTGACATGAATAGTGTAACATTTGTATAGTTTCTATTTTTTGTAAGCAACAATCAGCAACAAAAACAAACATTTTAAGATACAAATATATTTATATTTTAAAGTTGAATAAGATATTTTAAAATTGCTCTACTTATGTCCTCTTCCTTTTTTTTTCTTATGTCTATCATTTCTCATGTGCTAATCTGCTTCCTTTCACCAGCACCATGTCCAAGTTGAAGTCATCTCTTCAAACCGATATTTGTAGTCAAACAATGAAAATCAACACACTGGCTAAATCTGAGAAATTATGTCTCATTCTGTACCTCTCTTCCATTACCTCAGCCAACATATGAAAGGTATGTTTAACCATTAGTCTTTTGAAATCACTCTAGGTTGTTGTTGTGGTAAGAATTTTGAGGTTTTTCAAAGATTTTCCTCACATTATTTTAGAGATTATTATGTGAATTGACCACTTGGTTCTGCTCACTTCATTTTTCATCAATTCATAGTGAAAAAATGATTATTTCTCTCCTATATTAATAACAAATTATTAAATTAGGACTAAAGTTATTTCCCTTCCTTTTCCTCATTTAGAAATTAGTCCCTGTAAGTTATTCATGCAGCCTTTGGAGTGCAGGGCTCATAATGAGATGAAATCTTGGGTGAAATTAACCCAAGTGGAAAACTCAGATTTGATCAAAAGGTAAAGAAATTTTACTTCTGCTGAATTGATGGATTCTGGCCCATTATGTTTTAGTCAGACAGGTCTGGGTAAAAGTGGATTTTCCCCTTTTGTCTAGATTACCCTAGATGGGGTGATATGGATATAGATAAGTCTTTTTGACAAAGACTGAGTGATCAGTCACATCCCCCAGTTCCTCATTAGAATAGGTCCACCTCTCATTAAATATGTATTCTTTCATTAATTGTTAACCAATCAGTTGATTTCCACCCTCAGGAATACCCACTCTTCCAAGGGCATATAAGCTTGAGTGGGTTACATGAGGGGGTCTTTGGCATTTGAGAATGTCACTGATTCTTTTTATTAATTTTCCTCTAGAATGATTAATAAAATGTTTAATTACCCAGAAACTATGTCTCTCTAACTTTTTAATATGTCACAAGAGAAATCACTTCATATTTTTCCTGACTTCACATTTGTTTCTGGTCATTGCTACAACAAAAATGGCAGCTTTAAATATTCATGTCCATCGTTTTCTTCCATTCTCAAATAAAATCTTCTCTTCTACAAGATACCTTTACCAATCCTTCTTAATTCTGGTTCCTTCTCTCTTTTCATTATTTCCTTTTTCCCCTGAATATAACTTCTTTGTATTTGGTAGTTTCCACAGTGCCTTTCCTTTTAGACTGTGAGCTCCTTGAGAGCAATGACTTAAAAGGTGCTGAAAAATATTTCTTGGCTAATTGAATGACTTTTTTTTTTTGCACACTTAAGAGTAGAATTCCTGACTTGAAGTACATGTACATTTTATTGATGTACAGTCAAGCAACATGATTCTCATATATATGAAGTCCTGAAAAACTATCTCTGCATCAGCCATGTTAAAAATATAAGAAAAATGAAGGAAAAAATGTTTCCGTCTGTACTCTGAGTCATAAGTTGGATTGAATGGATAACTTTTTACATCATGAGTCCTTTGGAGTTGTGGTGTTGTTATCACTGTATTGATCAGAGTTACTAAGTCATTCACAGTTGATTATCTTTACAATGTTGCTATTACTATGTATATTGTTTTCCTGTTTCTGGTCATTTTACTTTGTATCAGTTCACAGAAGTCTTCCAGTTTGTTTTTTTAATCATCTACCTTTTTCATTTCTTCCAGCACAATAGTATTCCTTCACATTCATATACTATAACTTGTTTAGCCATTCCCTAATTGATGGTCATACCCTTGATTTCCAATTCTTTGTTACCACAAAAAGAAGTGCTCTGAATATTTTTTAAATATGTGTTTTCTTTATTTTCCTTTGACCTCCTTGGGGTATAGACCTAATAGTATTTTGCTGGGTGAAGGATATGCAAAGTTTATTGTCCTTTGGGCATAGTTCCAAATTATTCTCTAGAATGGATGAACTATTTCACAGCTCCACCAGCACTGCAGTAGTGTACCTATTTTCCCACATACTCTCCAACATTTGTTATTTCCTTTTCTGACATTTCAGCTAATGAAATGGTACATCAGATGGTGAAATGATACATCAGATAGTGAGATGGAACATTACAGTTGTTTTAATTTGAATTTCTCTAATTATTAGTGTTTTTGAAATTTTTCATATGACTATAGCTTTGATTTCTTCTTCTGAAAACAGCCTCTTTATATCCTTTGACCATTTATCATCTGGGGAATGGCTCTTATTTTTATGAATTTGGCTCAATTCTCTATAAATTGGAGAAATTAGACTTGTAGGAGAGAAACGCTATAAATTTTACTCTCAGGTTCCTGATTTTCTTCTAATTTTGGCTGCATTGGTTTTGTTTCTGCAAAAATGTTTTAATTTTATGTAATTAAAATTGTTCATTTTACCTTCTATGATGCCCTTTAGCTCTTATTTTGTCATGAACTCTTCCCTTATCCATAGATCTGACAGGTAATTCCTCCCATATTCTCCAATTTGTTTTTATCACTTTTCATGTCTAAATCATGTACCCATTTTGAAGTTATTTTGCTATCTAGTGTGAGGTATTGTTTTTGGTCTGGTTTTTGCCATGCTATTTTCCAGTTTTCCCAGTAGTTTTATTTTAATCAAATAGTGAGTTATTTTGATGATTACTACTTTGTAATATAGTTTGTGATCTATATCATTAAATTCTCTTCCCTCACATTTTTTGCCCCAACATTTCCCTGGATAATCTTAACCTTTTGTTCCTCCAGATGAATTTTGCTACCATTTACTCTAGCTAGTTAAAGTAATTCTTTGGTCATTTGATTGGTATGGCACTGAAAAGTAAATTCATTTAGATAGTATTGCCATTTTTATCATATTGGCTCGGCTTAACCATAAACAATTAATATTTCTCAAGTTGTTTTGATGTGTATTAATGTGAAGAGTGTTTTATAATTGTGTTTATATAATTCCTGAGTTTATCTTATCAAGCAGACTCCCAAGTATTTTACACCCTCTGAAGTTATTTTAAATGGAATTTCTCTATGTTTTCCTGCTGGGATTTGTTTGTAATGTATAGATCTTTTAGCTTCCATATTATGCTATTGAATAATATTAGATTTGCAGTCCACTAAACCCTCCAAATCAAATGAGACAAACTACTGACTAGCTATAGATTCATATATATATATATATATATATACACACACACATACACACACACCCCCACACACACACACATACACACAGAGAGATATATACATATATGTACACATATATATATAGTGTATATGTGTGTGTATGTATATATAACATTTATCTTCTTTAAATCTTTATTTGATTTACCCTGTGTCCTAGATTTTTGAGATTTTTTTTCAATTAATCGATATTAGTTATTCTCTCTCAGCTTCATATTAATCAACAAATTTAATGAGAATATTATTTACTGTATTGTCTTTATATAAGTCATCAGTAAAGAAAAAAACTTTAAATAAAAGATAGGCAGAGATCTCTGGGATGCTCATAAAAGATCTTTCATGTTGGCATCAAACACTTGATGAAAAAAATTTGTTTTTAGGTCAAACCATTTAACCAGCTGGCACCTACCTAACTATATTATTAAGTGGCCAATAATGTCTACATCTTTTTCTCAAGAATAACAAGGGAAACTGTGTTAAATGCATTGGTGAAATTTGGGTAAACTTTCATAATTAGTACCTTATGTAATGCATATTTCACTCAACATTACATAATACCTTATGTAATGCACATTTCACTCAATAACTTTCATAGATTTTATGTGAAGGCTGATATTGGACTCTGATTCATTCTTTGCTTCATTCTTTTCTTCATTCTTTTGAAAAAGTCCAGACAAGAATTTCAATAAAATATCAAATTAATTAAATCAGACCAGAATTAAATAGTAAAGAATAATGCAGAATCAGGATATAGAAATTTTCATCTCCTCCCACCTATCCAATAAATATGGGCATACCTGCTATAGTTTCCAGTGGGATTCTCATCTAATTCTGATATTCATGGGAAAAGACTTAGGTTTCAATACTTTGCATCATAGCTCTACCTTTCATCTTTGTCCCCACAATCTAAATCATGATCTGCTCAAATATCTTAATTATAGATATTCAACTTGGCTGTGATTTCTTCAAGAATCTTCTAGGGCTCTTGGGTATTAGATCATGACAGTTCTACTCCATGTAACTCTTTCTATCATTTTACTCCAATAGCAGCCACACTTAACTTCTCTGTTTCTACCAATGCCCATAGCCAGTCATTTCACATTTTAATCCTGCATTTCAGAAGATTCTGAAGCAATGAAATCCTGCTTTGGGACATAACTGCTGGATATCCAGATATTCAGCTCCCTGGGGAATGGAATAGTGAGAAATTTTTCAGAAGATTTCTAATTTCTGGAAACATACATAGCATTGTGAGAAATATAGCCTGAAAGATACTCCATTTACTTCCCATATCTTATTTAATCCACAAAAAATCCAATAAAACAGGTACTATTACATTTATTAGGCAGCTAGATGACATAATGGATGAAGTACTGGGCCTGGAGTCTAGAAGTCAGGAAGACCTGAATTCAGATTCATCCTTAGATATTTACTAGCTATGTAAACCCATGTAAGTCACGTAATTCTATTTGCTTTAGTTTCCTCATCTGTAAAATAAGCTGGAGAAATGCCAAAACACTCCAGTGTCTCTGCCAAGAAAACCCCAATTGGGGTCACAAAGAGTCAGAAACCACTGAAACAACAATATTGCATTTATTATAATAGATGAAGAAACCTAGTATTAAAGGAATAAAAGCTATTTTCCAAGAACAAATAGCTAAATGGCCAAAATATCTGAATCTGTGCTGCGCTCTGTTCATTCCCTCATACATCCTATTACTCATCACTATCTCATGTTCTTGCTTCTCCTTCAATGCAATAAAAATGATATAATCTGAAATTACTGATTTAAACAGTTGTATAACAAGAAACAGAACTGTATTATACCCCAGTCAAAATTCAAACACCTCTGAAATAATTACAACTTAATCTATAACTCTCCCTATATAAACTCTAACAAAATTGGGGATAAAAATATGATATTTTGATACATACCTCCTAATAGATCCCATCTCTATTCCAGAGAATCATCCCTTATAACAAAGGTAATTTTTAAGGAGAAAAAAAAGTTTTTAAAATACTAACTGAAGCACATCAACCAACTACATTATGTATAGTGTTTCAGACCTATAGACCTCTTCCTCTGTTAAAAGGGAGCAAGGTATATTATCAAAGCTCTGTTTGGGGAGTGTTTGATCATTATCATGCTTAAGCATTCTATTTAAATTACTGTGTTGTTGATATTCTTTCCATTTAAAGTGTTACATATATTGTATACTGCTTTACTGGTTCTGATTACTTCATTTAGTGTCAGTTTGTATATCTTCCCAAGCTTTTCTGCATTTATCGTATTAATAATTTTGAAAGTACAGTGATATTCTAGTACTGTTTTGTTCCATCCTTATTCCTCAATCAATGGGCATTTACTTTGTCTCTGGTTCTTTGCTATTGGGAAAAAATTTGTTATAAATATGTTAGTGTATATGGGCACCTTTGTTTTTCTTATTGACTTCCTTGTGAATATGTCCATTAGTGATGAATCTGTGGGTCAGAGAACAGGGACAATTTAGTCACTTTCTTCACATAATTACAATTTTCTTTTCATAGTTCTTGGACCAATTCATAGCTCCTCTAGAAGTCTATCCTTTCACAAACTCTCCAACATTAAATACCTTTATTGTCATCTTTGCCAATTTACTGACTATGAAATAAGATTTTTAGCATTGATTTAATTTGTATTTCTCTTACAGTTAGTGACTTAGAGAATTCTTTTATATAGCTGTTAATAGTTTTAATCCTTTTGAAGACTCTTGGTTAAGATTTTTTTGGCCACTTTTCTATGTAGGAAAAGTTTTTGTTTATATATTTGTTATATGTGTATATATGTACGGATATAAATATACACATTGTGTATATCTGTATTCAAACATTTAAAATCAGTGATATATAGGATATATGTTCCTTATCAGAACTATTTGATGCAATATGTATGTGTGTGTGTGTGTATATATATATATGTATATACACATATACATATATATATATACATGTACATATATATATTTTTTTCCTCAGTGAGCTTCTCTTTTTATTATAGTTTTTAATTTTGTTTAAGGCTTCTCAATTTTATGCAGTTGATATTAGCACTATTATTTATTACAATTGCTTCTATCTTTTCTCTGTTAATAATTCACCTTCCATCCATACTTGTGAAAGATATCTTAGATAAATGTAGTCTAATCTTTTTTTTTTATGGTATGTCCTCTGTTAATCAGGTAAGATTCATTTTGAATTTCTTTTAGTATATAGTGCAAGTTGTTGGCAGAAATTTAATTTCTGCCAAAGTGAATTCTAGTTTCCACAGCAATTCATATAAAATAGTGCCTGTTTCACCAAGTAGTTTTTGTTTTCAGGTTTGTTGAACACTGGGCAATTGAGTTAAATTGCTTCTGATTTTTGCTTATCAAATCTGTTCCATTGATCTACTTTTTTTTAAAACCAGTACCAAATAGCTTTGGTGATTTCTATTATATAATATAATTTGAGGTCTGGAAGAAATATTAACCTTCCATGCCTATTTTGATTTCATTATTTCCCTTGAAATTCTAGATTTTTTATTCTTCAAATGCATTTTTTCATTTTGTCTAGCCCTACAAAATATCCCCATGTAGTTTGATTAATGCAACCCTAAATCTGTAATTTAATTTAGGTATTAGCACCATATTTTTATATCAGAATGACCCAGGCATGAGCACGGAACCTCTTTTAAGTTACTTAAGCTACATATTGCTTTAAGGAATATTTTGTAATTATATCTGCACAGGTCTTGAGAGTGCCTTGGTAGATTTACACACAGATATTTTTGAACGATTTAAAAAATTTATTTTGAAAGAGTGTACTTTTTATTACTGATTTTTGAATTTTGTTCTTGAAACATGAAAATGTTGTTTATTTTACTGGGCTCATTTTATTTTCTAATACATTGTCTCTGACATTTGCTGTGATTCTGATGCAGCTCCTTATCATCTTGTGCTTGGGCTACTATAATAGAATTTGGTTGGTTTCTCTGCCACAAGCTTTTCCCCGCTCCAGTCCATCCTCCATTCAGTTATGAAAATGATCTTCCTAAAGCACAGGTCTGACCATGTTACCCTTTCCCCACCCTTCATCTTCACACTCAATAAACTCTAGAAGCTCCATATAACTTCTAAAATCAAATTTAAAATCCTCTGTTTGGCATCCAAATCTTTTCTTAATGAACCCTCTTATGTTCCCAGTCTTTTTACTATTCTACCTCAAATCGAGCCCTCCTGTACTCTTCAATCTACTGACATTAGCCTCCTTCCTCTTTGTGCTTCAAACAAGACACTTAGTCTCCCAACTCTGGGGAATTTTTGCTGGCTGTCCCTCCTGCTTGGAATGCTCTCCATCCTTATCTTCTTCTCCTGGCTTCCTTCAAGTGTAAGCTAAAATCCTGTTCTATAAGAAACCTTTCCTGAACCACCTTAATTTTAGAGTTCCTTTTTTGTTGCTTAGCTCCAATTTATCCTCTTATCTGTATGCAATTTTTAGCATGTTTTCTCCACCATTAGACTGAGTTCCCTGAAAGCAAGGAACTATACTTAATTAATTAATCAATTAATTAATTAATTCATTAGCTTATTTATTTGTTTATTTTATCTCCAATGCTTTATACAGTGCCTAGAATAAAGTAGATGCTTAATACAGGTTTACTGACTGGAGAATGCATGGTCTCATAGAATGTTTTTGCTGAGTCCATAAAATTTTTAAGTAAACCATTTTTTTAAATCACATTTAAATGGTCCCTATTCATGTATATAATAGGTTTTTTTTAATAGCATAAATGAATGTTGGAATTTGACAAAGGCTTTTCTGCATCTATTAATACAGCCACTGGTTTTAGATTTTTGTATTTAATATCATTTTAAAATTTGATAAATTTTTCCAACAATTTAAATGCTGCACTTAAGAATTTTAGTACTACATCTAAGGATTTTCATCTGAAGATATCATAGCCCTTTTAAGTCTTACATAAAGCTATATGGTTCAGCTATTATTAACCCTATATTTGGCTCAGGACATTGAGGCATAACATATAAATAATATACTCAAGGTTACTTAGCCATTGAAACTTAGTATGTATTACAGTCAAATTCTCTTCTCTCCTGAGAAACTTGTATTTTTTGAAAGACCCCATTGCCTTTTAACTGGACTGTTGATTCATACCTCAATAGGCATGTACATATTGCAATTAACTTTGCTTTGTCTAAATGAAAAAAAAAAACAGCTTATAAAGAATATTCAATTCTGTTTCCAGAATTAAAAAAACAAAAAATTTCTGTGTTTATAAATGACTCTGAGAAAAGAAGATAATTACTTATCCAAGAAATGCTCTCAACAATAAACCAAAAAAGAAAAGTATCTTATCTATCCCACTGATTGTTACAGTCCTCTCCACTTTAGCTCTCATAGCCCCACCAGGGCATGGTATAACCTTTCCTGAAGTACCTTAGTTATTCCTTCTCGCTGGATGGGAGAAATCCAAGCCTGATTGGCTGATAAATAAACCACTCCTTATCAATCTTCCAATCTCTCTCTCTCTCTCCCTCAGATAAAGAAGCAAATGTTAAAAAGAAAAAAAAACATCACCACCAAAAAATGCAGAAGAAAACTTTTTTTTCAGCACCTACTTCTGTATTAAATGTCCAGTTCATCTGCCACACTGAAATAAATGTTTGTTGAATGACCACATGAAGAATGCATGAACTAATGAATCTCAGACTAACTACTTCAGGTTTTACCATCTTTAAGAAATGTGGCAAATCGCTGTTTTCTCATGTATAACAACACATAAACACAAAACAAAATTAATCAGTTTATTTCAACTGAGTTTAATAAGCATCCACTATAGTAAATAAAAGCTCTAACTTTATGATCCTATGATCTATTAAATTAGATAGGTCCCTTCAATCTTTAGATATAGGATCTTATGAAATTATGGGGAGGGGAGAGGAAGGGTGAGACATACAAGTGCACTACAAACTAGAGCTTAAATTGATGCTTGTAAGTGGAGGTATTTATTAAGCACCCATTGTGTACAAAAGAATAGCAAAGATATTTTTGGAGGGAAAGTAAAGTCACTCAAGGTCAGTCTGAGGTGGGTGGGTATGGAAACAGGGAGGGGTAGGTGAACATGGATGGTGAAACTACAAAAGACTTGACTGCATGTTAGCCGCAGGGCATTTTTAGCACCAGCTGGGAAGAGCTAAGTGGTTTCCAGCTGAAGCATTTTCTAATCCTAAAATTTTATTCTTCCCTGGGGGCTACCTCCTGTAGTCATGGTTCAGCCACCAGCAGCTCATTGTGTGTGTTTATAATACTAAGACTATCTTATGTTTGTTTTGGAATTTACCATTTTCTGAGAAGTGCTTTATTGGAGATAGGGCACAGGACTTTCAGGATTTCAGGATTCTACTTCCAGTAATTATCACTATTTTGAATCTTGAGACAGTCTTGACTATTACCCTGGAGAATAGGAAAGGCAGCAAGTATAGGAGTGGCCAACTGAAAGACTTCAGGACATATCTGTTGTTCAGTTGTGTCCAACTCTTTGTGACCTCATTTCGACTTTGTTGGCCAGGATACTGGAGTGGTTTAACATTTACTTCTCCAGCTCATTTTATAGATAAAGAAACTGAGGCAAACAGGGTGAAGTGCCCTTTGGAGGATCCCACAGCTTACCTCAAACTGAGATTTATAATGAGTGGTTTATTTATTTTGTTAATAACATTTTGCCTACCATGACTCCTACCATGACCTGCTGAATAGGAAGCTAGTGCTGAATCCTGGACTTCAGCTTATACTAGTTCTCATTTATGCCTAGCTTTAATTCCTGTTGTTGACCCTGTTTCTGTTTCAGACCTTGTTTCCTACCACTGACACTTTCAGGAACTTGAATTACTTCTTAGATCTTAATCTCAATTAGTATATAGGTTCATAGGATCACAGAGATAGACATGGAAGGGACCTTAGAGGTCATGTAGTATATCCCTCACATATTAGAGATGAGATATCTGAGGCCTACAGAGATAAAGTGACTTATCCAAGTTCATATAACTAGTATTCTAAGCATAGTAATAGACCAGAATTGAATTCAGGTCTTGTGACTCCAGTTTTAGCAGTCTTTCTACTATAGCATACTACCTCTTATCCTGTGAATGTGAACTCCTACTTTTAGGGGCACTTGTTGATGAAAAATCTCACTCATCTCCACAAACTACAGGAAGTTGAATTAGCAGTGGGTATCTTATTTGGTATCAGCTTTTTCTTATTTTGAGTTTTAAAAATTTTAATTTTCAGTCCCAAATTCTTTCTCTCCATCTACCCCTCTTGCACCCACTGAGAAGACAAGAAATATAAAACCTATTGTACGTATGAAGTCAAGCAAAACATAACAGCTCCTAACAGAGCTCTGCCTTATAAAGCTTGAAAAGTATCTATGATTCTTAGCCTGGCAAATTATAGCAGATATAGGAAATGTTATTCATTTTCAAAGGCTGTCTCTGTCACCTCTAAAGCTGAACTGATTTAAGAGAGCAGAAAGAGCAGTTCATTGTCCTCTGCCCTGCTACCACATATTTAGTTTGGAGACATGAAATCCCATATAGTGTGACCTCTACAGACTTGCCTGCAAGGGTAAATTTACATTTGAAGCTAAAGGGTTATGGGAAAGGATAAGGATCTTGGTAGTAATGGTCTAGATTACTAAGAATTCCAGGATGAGAATGTAGTTATAACCATGACTTGTGGTCTAAATACTCTGCTGTAGAACTAAATGAACTGAGTTCAGATATATTCTTGTGAGGGGAAAAAAGGCAAAATTATCTGTGATTCTTTTGTTGGAGGAATACAAACAGTAATATCTGACTTCCAGAAACAAGTGAGAAGGATTAGTGCAAAGTCCACCAAAGGCTGGCTGTATTTGGAGTGTATGATTTACAGTGTGATGTATAAACAGTGTGGCATGAATTTAAAAAAAGCATTAGATTTGGAATGAGAAGACCTAAATTTGTTTATGTCCTATTCTATATTACCTGTGTATCTGTGGGCAGGTTATTTGACCTCTCTGGTCCTAAATTGCACATCTGAAAAATAAAGGAGAAAGAATAAATATTCTGTAAAGTTTCTGTTTCTAAATTCCATTATAAGTCTCTATGGATGTCTCTTCATACTGCTGATTTCAATAGATCTATGATCATAAGCATGCTAGGGTACAAGTCATTTTCCGTAACTTTAAAAATTGAGAGGACAAAGTAGTGCAAAATTTAGTCTGAAATCTAACATTCAGTTATTTACATTGCAATAATTTATCTTCCATGTATCAAGGAGGGAATAAATCTCTCTTGATTCCTTCATATCCAACTTCAATTCCCCAGATGCTTCAGTAAGGAAAATTTTCCCAGTCTTGAAGAAATCTCCAAAGGTCTAAGTTGTCTGAGTTTACTGCCACCCAACTCACCGAATGGATTAGTTGAGACAAATACAACTAAAACATGTATAACCATTAATAGCAGAAATAGAAACCATCAAAGTACGTGCCCAATTTTATCCTTCCTACATTCAGCTACAAAAGAGACAAATGTTTTACGGTAGCAAGGGACTATAGTTAAGGAATCAGTAAGGTTGAATGTAGAAGCAGATTTCTTGATAAATAATTGAATATTGATTTAATCATGTAGAGTCAGTTTCATAGAATTGATAAATGTGCATGTTGAAGGGCTGGGACTTGAGAAAGCACTAGAGTAGGCTATGAAGATGACATGACAGACTCACAAAGAAGCCAAAGCCAACGAACTGGATAATCAGTACCTGAGTTTCTTCAGTTCCTGCCATTGTGAAATGGCAGGGTCAGCAGCTTGGCCAGCAGATGAAATGGAGGAGAAACATGAGCAGTGGAGGAAAAGTAGCTTCTCATTTGTTAAGTCAGTGGTAATAATAGGAGAATAAAAATGCATGGAAGATGAGCTGTCAAGACAATAACAAAGGAGCCTGACATCAGCCCAAGGAAGGCAGGGTAGTGTTGAATAGCGGAGCTGGATTCAAAGGAACAGCCTTTGTGTGCATTTACCTGGAAAGGGGAAGTAAGGAGGTCTATTCCTTATTTAAAAGACTGCAGATGAATTTTGGTAACTTCTTGTGGGACCAATTGTTAATACTATAACTTTTAAATTGTTAAAGTTAATTCCTGTTATTTAATTCTTATACACTTATCTGCCTAAGGTACCAACTAATGTACCTGTTCCACTAAGACATTTTGTCATTGTTAAAGCTTTACCCAAAGGACCCAGAATAGTAACTGATCTCTGAGGTATATTACTTATCTTAATTTTAATGAGCTGTGACCCTGGGCCAGAGGCAGCTAGATAGTGCAGTGGATAGAATGCTGGGCCTGGAGTCAGGAAGACAATTCAAATCAGGCCACAGATGCTTCCTGGCTGTGTAAGCCTGGGAAAGTCATTTAACCCCATTTGCCTCAGCTTCCTTACTTGTAAAATGGGCTGGAGAAGGAAATGGCAAATCACTCCAATATTATTGCCCAGAAAATTCCAGATGGGGTCATGAAGAGTCAGACATGACTGAAATGACTGAACAAAAACAATATTTTGGATCAATATTTGACAATGAGAAAGTGACTGAGTCCTCTCCTTGTTTCCTCATAGTTAAATGTGTTGAGCAGTGGAAAGGAGATTGACCTGATGAATTCCCTCCAGATTTCTTTTTCTGAACAAGACTTAGCCAGCTCAGAGCAATAGCAAATGTATTCCAATAAGATTAATACCAAGGACCCTGGAAATCCTAGATTTTAATGGCTGTGTTTGTCCAAAGATCACATAGTATGCTCTATGCATCTAATGATCATCATCCTTGAAAAAACAGCTCAAGTGCCATGTTCTCAAGAAAGTTTTCCCTGGGCATTTTTGTTCCCTTTGATATCTCCCTTTTCCCAACAACTATACTACTTACAGTTATTAGCACTTAAAGTTATAGACTTAGAGATGAAATTATAGATTTAGAGATGAAAGGGAGCAAACTATTGGATTTAATCACCTTATTTTGCATATTTCATACATACACATATATGTGTATATATGTATGTGTGTATGTGTATATCTATCCATCTATTACATATAGATAGGTTGTGACTTGCACAGGATCAATCAATAAGCAGTATTTAAAAAATTTTGTTTTGCTTTTTTCTCTTTTATTAAGTGTTTTACTTTTTCCTAGTTATATGTGAAAACATTTTTTAATATTTGTCTTTAAAACTTTTGAGTTCCAAATTTTTTCCCTTCCCCCCCCCCACTGGGAAGGTGAACAATTCAGTGTAGGTTATACATGTGTAGTCATGCAAAATATATACATAATATTATCATTGTGAAAGAAAACATGGACAAAAAAATAAAGAAAAATAAAGAAAGTTAAAAAAAAGTATGCTTCAATCTGTCTTCAGACACCATCGATTCTTTCTCTGGGGATGGATAGTATTTTTTATCATAAGTCCTACAGAGTTCTCCTGGATCATTGTACTACTGAGCATAGCTAAGTCATTCACAGCTGCTCATCTTACAATACTGCTCTTATTTTGTACACAGCACATTTCACTTTTCATTAGCCTATGCAGGTCTTTCCAGGTTTTTCTGAGAGCATCCTGCTAATCATTTCTCATAGTCCAATAGTATTC